TACGTTCCTGATCTAGCAGTTATATGCAGCGCGAACCTCTGGCTGATGACTGACGATGACCGATGTGAATTCAGGCCACTTATCGGATTTCTACTACTACGTATGTTTGGTTCACGCTGCTTAACATGTATGAACCATAAAAATTTTAAAAAATCACAAAACAAATACGTTTACTGGTATAGGTCAGAAAACGAATAGTTATACAGGGCTGGCATATCGACAAATTTAACAGGGCTTCGGGCTAAAGCCGTATGTGTGGATGCACGAAAGTCGCCGGATGTCGTCTGTCATATGTGACAGTATGCGGAAAACGACAAAACGTTTCGGTGACATATGCGACGACGGCGGAAATGGCATTCATACGTCTGAACGCAAGCAACGAATCGTAGCACAGGAATCTTCTTCTCAGCCATGGACACAAGTAAATGGAATCGAAAAAGTTTGAAAACGACGCGACAAATTTGTGAACTTATGGTTTAAGAACTCCGTCGCCGTCGCCATCGCCATCGCCATCGCCGACGACACGTCAATCACCGTCGCACCTGACTGGACACCAAGCTTCGTTGAGCATTGTCAAAAATTTCGTCCTCTGATTCCGAGTCTGATTCGTCGTTGACGTTCAGCTGATGAACGGGCAGCACGTCATAAATCCTCTCGTTCTTCTGACGCCGTGTTCTAAGCAAAAAACAACACTCAATGAGACGGCGATGTTTTGTACACAACGAACAGGGAAACAAACAAATAGCAGAAAAACAGTTTCACACAGAAAGTTTACACACGCACGCACACACACCAATAAACTTACCAGAAATTTCCTAACTCGATGCTAAACTTAAGTCGTACAAAGTATTGATTTGCAGAGGTAGTAGCGATGAAGAATATGGAGAGATCAAAGATCACTTTTCCAAATGACTATATGAGCGGTGATTATCAGAGTCAATTACGATCCGTCGTCTAGGTAAAACTGTCCCCTGCTACGAGGTTAACGATGGTTTCTGAAATGGTTGCAATCAAAATATTTCGAAATTACAACTTCCATTCGACGGTGTCGGTCTTTCAATTGATTTCGAACACTTTCGCTCAGTGGTTCGGGACGCGGAAGCAGCAGCGTCACAGCTTTCACAGAAGAAAGCTCGAGTTTGGAGAAAAGTCCGGCGAGGCATTTGCTGAAGTCATTTTTGGCCACTCCGTGGGGTCTACGGCCGGTCAGTTGAGCACGTAATAGCTGTTTCGTCATCCCATCTGGAAGCACTTGCGATGCAATTACGACATGTCAAATAAAGTACCACTGGAACGATACGAACACAACCATTCGTGTGCTGTTTGTGACATTCAGCTGGAATACAAACGATGAATAATTTTCAGGCCGTAGCGCAAATATAGCCAGCAGATTCATTTAACACAACACAACACAATGCGTTAGGCGAATGATAACCAGCTAGGGTCCGATACCTGGTCAGAGCAAGATCGAAC